CACACATGGACTCTGTCTTACTACGGCTGACTTTCATTCCTCTTCTTTCAAGTGCATACCTCCACCTCTCCAAGTTCTCTTCCACCTGTTCCCTGTTTTCACCACAGATCACCATGTCATCTGCAAACATCATCGTCCACAGGGATTCCTGCCTGACCTCATCTGTTAGTCGGTCCATCACCAGAGAAAACAAGGGGCTCAGAGCCGATCCTTGATGCACTCCCACCTCCACCTTGAAGCTATCTGTCACTCCTACAGCACATCTCACCACTGTCCTGCTGTCCTCATACATGTCCTGCTGTCCTCATCCATGTCCTGTACCAGTCGAACATACTTCTCTGCCATTCCAGATCTCCTCATGTAACACCACACCTCCTCCTTCAGCACTCTGTCAGATGTTTTTTCTAAATCCACAAAGACACAATGGAGTTCTTTCTGACCCTCTCTGTTCTTCTCCATCAGCCTCCTCAAAACAAAGATGGCGTCTGTGGTGCTCTTTCTGGACATGAAACCATCCTGCTGCTCACCTCTCGTCTAAGTCTTGCTTCCACAACTCTCTCCCAGATCTTCATCGTGTGGCTCATCAACTTAATTCTCCTGTAGTTGCTACAACTCTGTACATCACCCTTGTTCTTCAAAATGGCCACCAGCACTTCTTCTCCATTCCTGAGGCATTTTCTCACCCTCAAATATGTCATGGAATGATTGAGTCAAAAACCTCACTGCCATCTCTCCAAGACATTTCCAAACCTCCACTGGTCATCAGGTCCTACTGCCGTCCCCGTCTTCATTCTTTTCAGAGCTTTCTGGACTTCACCCTCACTAATCTTTCCCACTTCCTGGTCCACAGTTTCTATGACCTCTGCTCTTCTTTCTCTTCATTTTCTGGCCTCTCCGATACAATTTCGATGCGAGATCTTGTACCAGAAGGGTCGGATGTCACATGGCATTACAAATAAATAGGGCCTAGGTTCCGCCTTCACATCCAGGACCACAGTCTGTCACGTGGATAGAAAGGCAGACTAAATGTGACACTTAATGCTCCTCAACCTCCTTCCTGAGGGGAGCGGGACAAAAAGTGTTTGTGCTGTGTGAGTGTGGTCCTTCATGATGCAGGTGGCCCTCTTCCTGCATCTGGAGGTGTAGATGTCTGTGATGGTGGGGAGGCTGACTCCAACATCTTCTGTGCAGCCTTCACCACTCTCTGCAAAGTTTTTCTTTCTGCAGCTGTGCAGCCTCCATGCCACACGTTGATGCTGGAGCACAGGATGCTCTCCACTGCACACCTGTAGAAGGAGGTGAGGACTGAGCTTCCAGACCAGCTCGTCTCAGCCGCCTGAGGAAGTAGAGTCTCTGATGAGCTTTCTTGATCAGGCTGGTGGTGTTGTTGCTCCAGCTGAGGTTGTTGTTCAGGTGCACAGTCAAGTACTCCTTTTATGTAATATGCCTTGTGCTTTGCCTTTGCCACCTCCCTCTTTGCTCTACATTGCATTTCCTTACATTCCTGTCTCCTCTCTCCGTCATATTTCTTCTCGGCTAACCTCTTTCTGTGAACAGCTTCCTACACTTCACATTCCACCACCAGGTTTCCTGATCATCCAAACCACTGTTTGATTCAATTCAGTTTATAAAGCACCAAGTCACAACAGAAGTCACCTCAGGACACTGAACAGGAACATTCATGTACCTAAAACGTACTTTAATGACATTATTTTCCTGAGGATTTTAATGACTCATGATATGTATTGGCATTAGATGCATTTGTAATGAGGTGGGAGACACGCTGGTGGGGGGAGGTCTGGGGGTCCTGCAGAAAAGTTTGAATAAATAAATAAAATAGATGCCGTTTCCTGCATTCTTGTATATTTCAACGGGTTAAACATCTACGTTTACTCGCATAAGACCCAGTAATTAATTTTTGTGCACTGTAGTACACATTTTGTTTTGCTTATATTTCTCATATGCCGTTCTACAAAGTCCTGATGTTTCTTTTAAAGGACATATCTTTAAAACGATGTCACATGTGTGGGGGTGTGACCTTGCCAAGTTTCCTTTTCCCGTCTTTTCCAAATGTCTGGCATCCCTACAAACTCATTTTATGGAAGAAAAGAAAGTGAGCCTGATATTTATATTTAAAATATTTTTATTGTTTTATTTTGATTATTTTTTAAATGAACTTCTAATCAGTAATTTCACCGACTTTGCAGAATTAAACC